GAGAACAACCTGTGCTCTTCTAAAGATAATGCCAACAGGTATCATGTATTTAAAATATTGCCAATATTTCCTATTACTAGTATTTAGGTTAATGAAAATTTTTAAATTTTAACAAAAGCAGCAATCCCCTACTAAGCTTATCACTGTTAGCCCAGAAGACTGATGTTCCAGGCCAATCGATCACTTTCCTTAAAGTGATTTCACTTTAGATGCCATAAATCACTAAGCAGGGACATTTTATTAGTCCATGTCCACTTGTTAAGGCCTATTCACAATGTCATTAGTCATTATGTAAGTCAGAAAAGGAAATGAACTTTCTAAATCTGTGGTCATGAAACACCAGGTATTAGCTTTAGACCAATAATAGGCACTTGAAAGAATCACTGCGTGAGAACATACGCAACCAAAAAAGCACTTCCCTTAACAAGCCTACACTTATTTCAGGGTACTGACAGGGCCAAAGTGAATTGAAATGGTAGCTAGAAAGTAGCTAATCTTTCTAAACTCTAATAGAAGTCTATGGAATGCAATGACCAGACCTTTTCCAAAAATACAAGGAGGTACTTAATAAATAAATAGCTTCCCAGACCTCTCCCCTGGAGTTTCAGACCCTATGGATCTGTGGCCTGGGAATCTGTATTTTTATTAAGAACCTCAGATGAGGGCTGGGTACAGTGGTTTACACCTGTAATCCTAGTATTCTAGGAGTCTGAGGCGGGAGAATTGCTTGAACTCAGGAGTTTTAAACCAGCCTGAGTGAGACCCCATCTCTATTAAAAATTGAAAAATTAGATGAGCATCATGGTGCAAGCCGGTAGGCCCCACTACTTGGGAGGCTGAAGCAGGATTGTTTGAGCCCAGGAATTTGAGGTTGCAGTGAACCATAATGATGCCACTGCACCCTAGCCAGGATAACAGAGTAAGACTCTGTCTCTCCCCCCAAAACAAAAAACAACAAAAAACCCTGAGATCCTCAGATAATTCTTTTTTCCCCTAGATTAATATTAATATGATTAGGTTACTTTGTGTTAGTTAGTAAATGTCCAAGTTGTATTTGAGTCCTTCACCCAGGAGGTGTGACATATACCCCTACATTGTATCATTAGGTGGGAGTTAATGAGCGCCTTCCTCTCTGATTTCGCTGCCATTCTTGAATTTGTGATTTTCCTCTCATGTGTGTCTACAGCTCTTCATCTACTAGTTTCAAAATAGCATTGAATACATGGGATGCTTGTTTTTCTATTCTTGAGATACTTTGCTAAGAAGAATATTCTTCAACTCTATCCAGGTAAGTACAAAAGATGTAAAGTCTCCATCTTTTTATGTCTGAATAGTATTCCATGGTATTCATATACCACACAATTTTTTTTTTTTTTGGGAGACAGAGACTCAAGCTGTCCCCCTGGGTAGAGTGCCGTGGCATCACAGCTCATAGCAACCTCTAACTCCTGGGCTCAAGCGAGTCTCCTGCCTCTGCCTCCCAAGTAGCTGGGACCACAGGCGCCCGCCACAACTCCCGGCTATTTTTTGGTTGCAGCCATCATTGTTGTTTGGCAGGCCCGGGCTGGATTCGAATCTGCCACCTTAGGTGTATGTGGCTGGCACCTTAGCCGCTTGAACCACAGGCGCCGAGCCACCACACAATTTATTAATCCATTCATGGGTTGATGGGCACTTTGGTTGTTTCCACATCTTTGTGATTGCAAATTGAGCTGCTATAAACATTCAAGTGCAAAATGTCCTTATGGCAAAATAATTTTTTTTTTTTCTGGACAGATACCTAGTAATGGGATTGCAAGATCAAATGGAAGGTTTACTTTTAGCTCTTTGAGGATTCTCCATAATTCTTTCCAGAAAAGCTATATTAGTTTGCAATCCCACCAACAGTGTATAAGTGCTCCCTATCTCCACACTCTCACCAACATCTGCAGCTTTGGGACTTTGTGATATGGGCTATCTCACTGAAGTGATATCTCAAAGTGGTTTTGATTTGCATTTCTCTGATGACTAGGGACGATGAGCATTTTTTCTTTTTTAAGAGACAGAGTCTCACTTTATCGCCTTAGGTAGAGTGCTGGGGCCCAGTGCCAGCCTGACTTGTTGTTGTTGTTGTTGTTGTTGCAGTTGTCATTGTTGTTTAGCTGGCCTGGGCCAGGTTAGAACCCCCCACCCTCGGGTGCATGTGACCTGCGCCATAACCACTGTGCTGCAAGCCCTGAGACACTTCAGATAATTCTTATTGAGGAAGTCTAACAAATATAGGGATGAAATATTTGACATGTCATGGTAAGGTATTTCATCTTCCTAAGGGTACTCATTTCTTTTGATGATGCAATTAGGCATCAAAATACTTAGTGAATTTATATTTTTTAAACCATGAGACAAATCCTAATGTATTAACCCTACTTAGGAAAAGTGGCTTTAACACAGAACTAAATGGAAAGAGAATGCAGGGCAGAGATTTTTTCAGTAGACATGTCATAAGGAATGTTTTTGCTTAATGACAACACTGGACTTTGCTCCTTCATTTGAAATGACAGGATTAAGCTCCTTATCCTACTTCTCTTTACTGCAATTATTGAAAAGGATTTACAGACAGTTATTGATAAAGATTTAAAAGACAAACCCTACTTCATTTATATCTTAAGTCCACTACTAGGTCTATCAGCTAAGAATCCCATATGCCTTTAAAACTGAATAAAATCAATTAAGTTTGATTTGATAATTAAAGTCATAGAGCAGGAAAGATCACCAAGCAGTTTTGAGCAAAGAGTCTTGCTTCTCATCCATTTCAGCCTTTCTAATGATTCTGAGCCCTCCCAGCATTATTTATTCATGCTACTCCCAGAAGATAATGCTTATGATTAACCACTGTGGCCCTCTACCTTCTGAGTTGCCATTTTGGTTTCCCTCTATGTCTGTACATGTATCAGAATAAAATTATACAAGATTCAGCCTTAGAATATTTCAATTGAAAATCATAACTAATTTGAATTTCAGAAGGAAGCATGGTTGCCAGCATTAATTCCAGGTGAGGTGAAATGAGATTTTAACCTAACCAGGGAAATTATCTCCAGTAGGGCAGAGGAAGTAGAATTCAGATGATCTTTTTTTCTCTAATTGTTGAAAAATTATAAAGTATAACTAATTTCCCCTGTAATTCAGCTCCCCCCCCAAATATGGAGAATACAAATTCCCCATATCTTGAATTTAAAATATGTTTAGATAAAATAGTACTTCTTATATGTAGTTTGACAGATTGAGAAAATTTTGCATCAACATCAACATCTCTGTTTGATCACAAACCTGCTGAGTCAGGAGTAATGCTGCTGTCGTGAGCAGAAACCAGTAATCCCAACAACAACTCCACTTCACTGTGGGACTGGGAGGGATGAAAGGGAATAAATGTTGATCTAAATTCTGGGAAAAACTGCTGTGTGAAGGTAGCTGCAAAAAAATCCCTTACATCTGTACAGTGCATCCTGCTTCCCAAAGCATTTTCACTTAATTTAATTTAATATGGAACAAGCATATAAAAGCAGAGATAATGCTTCAGGATGTAATAACAAAGAGGAACAAACACATTTGGGTCATCTGAGCCTTTTATAACTCAGCAGATCTTCTATTCTGATAATTGGAAGGTTAAATTATAGGACATCTTTACGGATTAGACATCTGGCTTGGCACACTGTAAATAAAAGATTTTTTTAAGTCCACCTGTGATCATTTATTTACCTCCTTCTGGTTGACAAAGAACTTAATTTCTTTAAAAAAAAAAAAAAAAAACCCGCTGCCTGTAACTCAAGCGGCTAGGGCACCAGACACATACACCAGAGCAGGTGGGTTCGAATCCAGCCGGGGCCTGCCAAACAACAATGACAACTAAAACCAAAAAAATAGCCAGGTGTTGTGGTGGGCACCTATGGTCCCAGATCCTTGAGAGGCTGAGGCAGGAGAATCGCTTAAGCCCAGGAGTTAGAGGTTGCTATGAGCTGTGAGGACACAGCATTCTACCTAGGGCGACAGCTTGAGGCTCTGTCTCAAAACAACAACAACAACAACAACAACAAAAAACAGTTAAGGCTCAGCGCTTATAGCACAGTGATCACAGCACCAGCCACATACATTAAGGCTGGCGGGTTCGAAACTCACCAGGCCTAAACAATGACAACTGCAACAACAAAAAAAAATAGCCAGGTGTTGTGGCAATCGCCTATAGTCCCAGCTATAGTCCCTTGGGAGGCTGAGGCAAGAGAATCGCTTTGAATTGCTGAAGCCCAAGAGTTGGAGGTTGCTGTGAGCTATAATGCCATGGCACTCTACCAAGGGTGACATAGTAAGACTCTGTCTCAAAAAAAAAAAAAAGAAATCAGTTATGACTTGGCGCCTGTAGCACAGTGGTTATACCACCAGTCACATACACTGAGGCTGGCGGGTTCGAACCTGGCCCCGGCCAGCTAAACAACAATGACAACTGCAACAGAAAATAGCCCAGCATTATGGCAGGCACCTGTAGTTCCAGCTACTTGGGAGGCTAAGGCAAGAGAATCATGTAAGCCCAAGAGTTGGAGGTTGCTGTCAGCTGTGACATCACTGCACTCTACCAAGGGAGACATAATGAGACTCTGTCTCAAAAAAAAATAAATAAAAAATAAATAAATATATAAAGATCTATCTAGTAATATTAAAAATATCAGTTATATTCCTTGTTTTATTATGATTAAAAGATCACTCTATATATCGGTCTTGGTATCTATTATTTAATAATTATTAGCAATAAGTTTTATGATTTCAGTCTCATTACAGAACAAGAATAAAACACAATTATTATCATTTATAATAAATTAACATGCTTAACGCTAAAGAATAAGTTATTACCAGCAATTTTCACCAGCAAACCAAGTTCTGAGTAATTAGATAATAAAGACTGTTCGTTAGATAAAGATATGGCTTACTATTGGAAGATTTTTTTCCAATGCTAAGAATATTAAAAATCTTACCTATATATAAATTGGATCTGAATTCCACATTGTGGTCTCTCACTGCCATATCTTGTGCTTCTAAGAGAACCTTAAACAAGCAAAGAAAGGCATATACATGACTAAACCCAAAGTAAAATGAAATTAAATTCTCATTATCTCAGCAATATGATGCTAATCATATACCTCCATTTTATAGTTAATTTTAAAAAGAGAATATCAAGACCAGGCATGGTGGCTCAGACCTATAATCCTAGCACTCTGAGAGGCTGAAGCAGGGGGATCATTTGAGCTCAGGACTTCAAGCAAGACCATCCTGAGCAAGAGTGAGACCGCATTTCTACTAAAAATAGAAAAATCAGTTGGGTGTTGTGGCAGGCACCTGTAGTCCCAGCTACTGAGGCAGGAGGATCACTTGAGCCCAAGAGTTTGAGGTTGCTATGAGCTAGGCTGACGCCATGGCACTCTAGCCTGGGCAAGAGTTAGACTCTATCTCAAAAAATAAGGAAAAAAAAAAAAGAGAAAGCAAGAGAACATCAAGTGATAAGAGAACTAAAGAAAAGGGAGCTTTCCTTCCTCATACAAGAACTATAAATGCAGGGAACGTAGTCTATCCTACTAAGTTTTAAATGGCACGTGTGAGCTATAAAGGAGATGGCAACATTTGTTAAGCAGTACTCCTTGGTAAGGAACATTACATCTTTGAGTCAAAGACTTATCAAAAAGTTGCTGAAACTCAAGAGCTAAATCTTATTGAAATTTCTTAAACATTAGATCCAAAGTAACCATTAACAACATCAGACAAGAAAAAATTCATACCTGAGAATTTCCTTTAAGAAGTTAATCATAAATTTACTTTCCATAGATATTTTGAATTAAGTTAACTTCCTTGAAAATAAATTTTTTTTAAATAGGACAATTGTTGTCAACAATAAAAAAAAAATTCTACTCAGAGAACATAGTACAAGGCTGAGTGACAGACTTAGCAAATGCATTCTAAACTGAATTAAATACAGTAAAACCATAGCATTACAATGGAATCTCTCAGAAGTTTGAATCCATCAATCTCAAATCTCAACTAGTCACCTACTAACTGAAAGGTAAGAATAAACTTTAGGTGAAAATTAACTGAAAATATAGAGAACAATGCTGATAATCCAATGCAGATGGTAAGGGACAAGCAGCTTTTTGAAACAAATTGCCTAAAGTGAGTGAGCACAATTATTATCAGCACCATTTGTACCCGGTGAATCAGGTACATTTAGAGTTAGAAGGGTCTTAGAGATTATCTAATCTAATCCCACACAGTTCAGCAGTGAGAGAAAGGGAACCAGACTGGTTAAGTATCTTCCTTGTGCTTCTAAGAAAAAATCAGAGAAAAGACTAGATTCCAAGTCTGGAGTTCCAGTCCAGTGCTCTTTCCATTCAACTACTGTAGTTATAAAATCATAAGTTCTCGTTGGAATTGACACACACACAAAAAAAACTTCCAAAAATATACCAAGTCCCAAATCATTAAAAATAACATTTATTGCATCATAGACAGTAACTAACTAAATAAATAAATATCTGGGGCAAATAAACTCATTTCAGGAAAAAAATACCAAAAGCATACATCATTCCTAAGGTATAAAGACATTAATAAAACTGAGTGCCCTAAATCCATACTATACTAAGTATGTATTTACAATAGAAAATTCAGGGAATTCAAGATTTAGGCTGAGCTTACTAATACCAGCAAGACAGCTACATCCCTCATTCCCACCACCACCACCACCAGACTGAAATCTACCTCTTTAATTATTTGGGCCCCTTTTTTGTCACTGAATTCCAATTGAGCCAAAGCCTGGTCAATGGACATTCCTCGTATCTGTAATTAAAGGGTGATAAACAAGAGAGAATAAGGAAATTAGTTGACCAAAAAAAAAAAAAAAGTAAGTTTACAAAGTCAATGGTCCCTTTTCCATGAAAAATAAAAGCCTTACATAATGTGAGTAACTTCTAAAAATAGTGAACTGAACTTAGGCAAAACAGAAGAAACAAGTTTGAGAAGGGAGACCACCTTCAAGTCAAAATCAAACTTAAACATTTTAACCACAAAACCTAGATTGTAAATAGTTTCTCTAATCATTAAAAGAAAGTAGATGTGATGGAGACCACAGGCTGGCAATAATCACTCTAGATATTAAAGGCATCTCCTTCTCCTACAGGATAAATACACTTATATGTATATTTGCTGTTTTTGTCTCTCCTCATTTACAAATTTCATTTTCCAGGAAATAAACTTGAAAAGCAATAATTTTAAAATAGGTTGAATCAACTTTTACAAATAAGCAAGCTTCCTGGATTCACTGGCTATAGCCAGATTTCTGATGCCTTCACTTTAAATATCTATCTAATGTGCTTTAGTTTCTCAGAAGGTAAAAATTAAGAAAAATCAAACAGCTCTTTTTTGATTACCTACCAATTATCATTCTTTTGATTACTTACCAGCTGTCTTATATTCCTCACTTTTTGGAGAAATCAAGGCAAATAGTTTTGATTTTTCAAACTCAGGGGTAGGGGAAGAACTCATAGTCTTTTTCCCACAGGTATTATTTGGTAATTAATAGTCATTTTAGCTTACCAATTTTGCCAAATACCACATCTTGTCTTTGCTATATTTTATTTGTCTTCGACAGTGGTAGATTTCCTTACAAACAGAAAAACAAGAAAAATGAAAAGAAAACTTTAGCAGGTTTATTAATGTTTTCACTTTCTATGCCAAACAAAAAGTCCTACAAGAAATAAAAACATCACTAAAAATTTGGAGATTCTTCTTCCCTACACAAAGTTGTGTTTTTCCAAAATCTCACAAGTTTAAACATTACTATGGGAGAAACACAAACTATAAAACAGCTTATTTGTGCCAACATTTGTGACATTTCTATCCAGAGGAATGGTAGAAGATTTAAATGAAAATACCTTGAAAACATTTAGCCAGCTAAAAGAATAAAAAAAAAAAGGTACAGGAATGTTTTCATAAGAAAAACTTATATTCTAGGTACTTGCCCAAGAGCACAGGTTCTAGACTCGGAATGCCTGGGTTTGAATCACCACTCTGCCATTTACTAGCTACACAACCTTGGGCGAGCTACTTAACCTTTCCCTACCTAAACTTCCTCTTCTTTAAAATGAAGATAATGGTTCCTATACCTCACAAAACTGTAAGTTGAAGAAGATAAAATAACCTATGTAAAGAAAGGATTTTATAGTGCCTGGCACATGGTAAGTTCTCAGTAAATGTTAGCTTTTATTGTCTTCTATCTAAAGTAAAATGTTACAGCCTTTTTTTAAAATCAATCATCTACTAAACAACTGATAGTTCATAAAGCACTTTCAGACTCATGTTATTCAAACTTACTCTATGAACTAACAGAGGAAACATTTTTATAATCCTTTTACAAATGGAAAATCAGAAATTAAGCCACTTATCAAAGACCACAAAGTTTGTGAAGGACAGAAAAAGAACAAAAAAGTATGTGAAGCACCCGCCAGTGTCTAATACAGTACCCAGCAGGAGTACCTTCAAAAGTTCCCCTCTGACACTATAATAAACACTTTTTTCCACTACTATACCATATTGCCACTTTTTGAAACATAGAAAACATTTGTTAACGCAAACAATAGCAGGGAGATCTCAAAACTTTCTAACATTCTGACTCCTGCTGGAAATTTTCAAATGCCTTAGAAATAGAGTTTTCTCAAGTGGCCATCTTTTAATATGTAGCAGAGTAGCAGATTTCCTTTCAGTTATAATAGAAGCAGACAGCTGAAACTGTAGCCATAGCCTAATTGCATTTTCAACAATAAAGTGTCCTGGGGAGCAAGGAAAAGGATAGAAGAACTGTCATGACTGCTACTAACCTGCAAAAATTAATCTACTCAATAAAATCTTTTATATAGAAACATTTTATTTTCTCTTTTTTTTGAGACAGACACTAAAGCTATTTCCCTGGGTCGAGTGCCCTTACATCACAGCTCATAGCAACCTCAAACTCTTGGGCTTAAGCGATTCTCTTATCTCAGCCTCCCAAGTAGCAGGGACTGCAGGCGCCTGCCACAACACCTGGCTATTTTTGTTGTTGTTGTTTCAATTGTCATTGTTGTTTAGCTGGCCTGAGCCAAGTTTGAACCACCAACCTCAGTGTATGTGGCCAGCACCCTACCCACTGAGCTACGGGCGCCACCTAGAAACATTGTAATTCATGGATTCCCCTGGTAGGATATCTTTAAACCTGAATTGCATATGATTATTCTCAACTTTTGTTTAAAAGAAAGAAATACAGAGAA